AAACTTGAAGAAAGAATTTAAAAGGGCCTGGTGAGAAGCCCTGAACTGTGCTGCTGGCCAGCTGAGGCTCTAAAAGGAACATCATGTTCCTAAACCACCTCCTTACTCTTCGCTGCTGTATATTAATGAGTCACTGAAATACATGTTGTGTCTTAATGCTGTGTCTTAATGCTGTGTTTATAGTCTTTAGACATTAGGGCCAAGTACTACACAGATTAGAAATGTCAGTTTCAGGGGTATATAGCAAGTCCTACATCTAAGTAATCTCTATTTTTGAAACAAATCAGATTTGCCTCTGTTTAATAAGAATATGCTGTATTGGCTATCAAAGGATCAAGCTCAGGCTAGCAGGGACTGGGAGCATGGAGGCAGCTGGAATATTCCCTGAGGGAATAAGGAGATCATAGTTTACTCAAATAGTCTCTTGCAACCAACCTAGGAACAATATTGATAAAAGGAGAGAGATGGGGCTCTGCGGGAAGCTGCAGCCAGCCTTTTTATTGTAAAAGGACTGTCAATTGTTTAAAATGATATTTTCCTGTTACTTCATGGTCAATAGGGGGAAAACGGATATCCATAAGAATTTAATTCCATAAGCAACTTTTTTGGCTTTAAATTGGCAAATCCACCCTGTTTGTCTGACCCTGTCTCAGCCAATTACTAGGTAATAGCTTTCTGACACCAAAAACGTCTGACTGTGCCAGAGGGCAATTGCACTAAACTACTCTTAGTCACATAATTATCTCAGTCAGATAAAGGGTGCATGGTAGGGAAGGGGTTAATGTATATTTTACCTTTTGGTAGTAGATGCATATGAAACAGCTCTGGTTTTAATTCTACATAGCTTGTACCAAATTTGAATGCATTTATTTACCTCAGAAACCCTGTAAGTTGCTGTGCAATCTACCCCCCTCTCCCCGGCCCATTTCTTAACGAGAAAGGGATTTCCCACCCAGGCTTTGCCTCTCCTCAACCACAGATGGTGTATACAGTACCTCTGCTTCTGACCAGAATTTCCCTCCTTGGCCAGCTTGCAGAAGAAGTGTTTGTATAGTGATCCCACAAGAGCCAAAATGCAGTGCATTTACTTTATATTGGCCTTGGCCTAGGATGTGCTTTTGCTCGTTCTTTCATAATGCAACAAATACTGGGCAAGCTTTATGAAGTGATTTGGAACTTATTTTTCCACAAAAGATTAAAAGTAGATAGATGTTGCACTTTGCTGGCTTTCACAATCTAGTCCAGAAGCCATGCCAACTGATTTTCCTTGTAGTAACGTACATACACAAAGGCAGTATTGTCTAGCAGTTTGACCAGGAGACTGGGAGTTCTGAGGACTCCTAGGTTCTGTTCCTGGGCGCTGCCACTGATGTCCTGTGTAACGTTGAACAAGTCGCTTAACCTCTTTATGTGTCTACCTACTAATAAAAGGAATAGAGGTATTTAATTCAGAGGTATTTAAAGGCATTAAACTATTTTGCATGTTTACAGTGTCATATATTATCTTCTCAGCTGGATTTGGGTACTGGCTGTTGCACTAGAGCTGAATCTTTGGGTCCTTAATACAACAGACTTTTCTGCACTGGAGAAATTAAACATGCTCTAATTCTTGTGATAAACAGTAATAGGGAATACTGGATAATGTTTGAAATGTTGTTCCTCTCCCCTCTGTGCTAGTAGGCACTTTAATAATGTAGACCTACTACAGCTTGCAATACAGGCTGTGGTGTGGTGTGATATAAGGTACATGCATGTTACATAATATAGTTTCCACTAGCAGCTAAAACTGATGTATTTACATATAGCAAATAAATGACTTAAACTCACAAATGGTGCTGACCCTGCAAAACCAAACTTTGGGATAACTGACTTGAACAAACATGATAGCCAGAGAGGATTGTAAAATACATTTAAATTTATAGGTACAGTACAGGAACTTTGAGGTTCATATAACTTTAAAGTTGGACACGAACCAGCAAGGGAGGACATTCAAAGATAACCCTTATGCTTTGTTCTCCACTCTTGCTGTTCTGGAGGGATGGATAGGATGTCTGCCTTATTTTTGTTGTCAATTGGCATTTAGGCTAAAATCATTTGTAATGTCCATTATGTTATCCATTGGCGGGGATGGGGGGAATTATATCCTGCTCTTTCAGGGCAATGAATTCAGTCTAATATGTCTGCTGTAATCCTAAACATGGTTTGGTGTTTAATATTAAACTGTGCATCTATGTTACATCTGGATGACCATGCAGTCTCCCCTTCAGATGCCCTGAAATATTGCTTCCAACTTTTTGTTGTTGTTTTGGATCTGGGCATGAAATTGCATGACAGCGAACTTTCCTTTTACTTCTACAAAAATAAATGAAAGTAGTTTTTCAAATGATCCTATAATATTTTGTCAGTGTAGCACAGAGCTAAATTTATGTTACAAGGTCATGACGGTAGTCTGCCAAGGATAAGAAACTGATTGAGAGACCCTCTTCCCTTTCCATAAGGCATGAGTTCAAATATTGACTGTATGGGTAGTTAGTCTTTAATGACTTCTGAGTGCTCATTGTTTGAGGAGTTGTTGGACTAATTTCAGATCTACTGAGTCCATGTTCCAATACCAATATAATTGCAGTCTCACCAATGTTAGGTAGGCATGGAGGCAGAACTAGTTTCTCCGTGATAGGACAGGTTGCTCGAGTACAGTGTAGGGAAGCTTGTACTGCCCCTGCTACCCTTGTATCTATTCACAGAACAGTTATAATGTAGAGGATTTAACTCTGCTGGGCTGTCTCTTGTCACATCTTAAACTCAGTCCTGTAAGGCTGTTATATGTAGAAGTCCCATGGACTTCAGTGGGTGTCTCTCACACACAGGGCTTTCAGAACCAGGCTTCACGTGAGCATAACACTGAAAAGTAGACTGGTCTTATGCATTAAGTCTCATATTCCAAGCAAAACTGTGGTGTTCACAGAACGTGCCCTGATCTGTGTATGCCATTCAGCAGGACTTTTGTAAAGAGGCTGGGCAGAGGATCAGAATTAAAACCAGCTATCAACCTCTCAGCTAATATGCAGGATGCCTTGGCAGAAGTGTGCCAGTCTTAATCATTAGTCTGTAAAGCTACTTGGTCAGAAGGAGGGTGTCTCTTGGTGCATGTGCTTAGAATCACTACCTAGAAATAGACAAGGTCATGGTTAGTTTCAGCAGTAATCATAGTTAGGATTGGTATGAAACTTTAGCTACTGTTGGAGGGCTTGATTGATCTTTATTTTCTGGCCAACAACAGGCAGGTGTAACCACTTGTTTTGGACTGTAAACAAACAGTAAAGAAACAGAAAAACTGAGAAATAAGGTTTGGAGGCGTTGGGGGTGCAGGCATCAACTATGGAGCTTTTCAAGGGGAGAAAAGTGGATTGAAAGGAGGAGTGAAGCTGCTTATTAATATCTTTGTGTAATGAGAACAACAATATACCTAGATTAAATGTTTAACAGTAGTCTCCAATATAAAAATCTCCATTTTCATAACACTTCAACACTTCATTAAATTAGTTCAGTTAAGACTAAAGTAAGATGTGTGCAGAAAACGCAGGATGTGGCTGTGGAATAATTCATGCACAGGCAACCATCTTTAAGATGATGATGAACATATATTGACACAGAAGGTTCAGAGTTAAGAAAGGTATTTTCTAATACGTGGCCGTTGGGAACTATTTCTTGTTCAGCCAAAGTGGTGGGTGTTTTTTTTTTTTTTTTTTAAAAGAAAATCTTCCAAGCATGTCTTCTAGTTTGAGTAACACATTTTTGACAGATGTTTGCTAAATTAGTGTTCTCCCAGTTTTGATCAGAAAGAGGCCAAGATGGGATATTGCTGTCCTGTGATGGCTACAATGGCTAGAAAGGCCTCATGTAGGCCACACAGCTACATCACTTCCTGTTAAAGAGTAATAATGGAGATTTAAGGTGAAATGGAAGAAAAGAGTAAAATGACCCTCCACATGGCTGCAGGACAAGGTGGGTGAGGTAATCTCTTTTATTGGACCAACTTCTGTTGGAGAGAGAGAGAGAGACAAGCAATTTGAGCTTACATAGAGCTCTTCTTCATAATTCCCAGACCTGAAGAGGAGCTCTGTGTAAGCTCAAAAGCTTTCTCTCTCTCTCTCTCTCTCTCTCTCTCCAACAGAAGTTGGTCCAATAATAGAGATTACCTTACTAACACTCTCTCTCATATCCTGGGACCGCTTGGCTATAACACTGCATACCTCAGCATGGCTGACTAAACAATTCACTTCCCCAAAATCTGTATAGAACAGAATGTTTTCTTACAAATGCTCAAATATGAGATGGGATTCTAAAGGCTACACTTTACTTTCTTGTTTATGGTAGGAAAACATGTTTTGAAAAAGTTTGCTTTAATTTTCTTTTTAAATCAAGATTTGAGTACTATTTTATAATCCTTTTATATTTTCCTCATTAGATATGGATTACTGCTACCAAGCAAGGGGTGAAAGCTGGGACATTCTTCTGGTCTGTGTAAGTGACCTTTATTTCTGGAGACCTGTAGCAAATAATTCAGACTTAATTTGGTGTAAGTAAATGTTCATTAGTTTCCCTGGCTCTAAACATTCAATAGCTTCCCAGTCAAAGAAAGCTACTCCTTTTTCTTTCCTTTTCTTTTTTTTTTTTTTAACCCCTCCCACCCCATTTCCCGCCTCCCGCTGTGGTTTCTTTATAATTTTGTTTGTAATATATTATTAATGTGACATTTACCTTGGTCCAGATCTTGAAGACCTCTTTGTGCAAGGCTCCTGAGTTGAAAATAAGTGTGGTTATGTTAACATTCAGCTAAAGTTGAGCAATATAATTATCTGGCAGCTTAGTCTCAGGCCATGTCTAGAATATGGGCGCTACAGTGGTACAGCTATGGCACTGTAGTTATATCTCTGTAAATGCCTGTTGTGTAGTTCTCCCCTCCCCCCTGGTTGCTGTAGAAATTCCACTTTCCCATAGCTAGGTCAAAGGAAGCTACAACCTCGCTGTGTCTACAGCAGGGGTTAAGTTGGCAGAGCTACAGGGCTCAGCTGTGTACATCTTTCACACCCCTGAATGCCATAGCTATGTCAATCTAACTTTTTTTTTTTTTAAGTGTAGGCCAGGCCTTATCAGCAACATATTCTTTTAACCCTTGGATGTGATGGGTGTTTATAGGAGCTTCTTCTGCCCTCCAACCACTTACAGCATTTGGCATGATGAAAATGTGCCAGCACTGCACCCTAACTAATTCAGAAATTTCCCCTTCAAATGGACAGTCATTTTTAAAAGACAAATTGTTTCATGTTTTGGATAAAATATCCTCTTCCCCTTGCTCCAATCCAGAAAACCATTCTGAGGCTCCCTGCTGTTTTTCTTCTTTACTGCCTAATCCCGCATTCAGCCAGCCATCCTTCTAGCTGAAAATGGCTGGATATGTATCATTTCTGAGCTCTGAAGGATTACTAGTGTGAAGTGAGATCATCCCATTTTCTTTCTTCTGCCAAACTTTGGCAGCAGAGGTCCTGTTGTGGAACTCCTTTCTGGAAGAAAGCAGACTATGTTCAAATTGAAGTATTAAATGGATCTTTCCCATTTTTTGATTAAAGGCTTCCACCAGAATTGTGCTCTTTAATTTTGTGCAGCCCTTGAATATCACAGTGATATGTGCTATTTTGATGAAATGGGAATTTTCTGTAATCTTTTTTTTTTTTTTATGAATCCTATGTGTGCTTCAGTTTCCCCCTGTACTTTGCATTGCTACCCAGTGGGGGCTACCGGGTTAAATCTGCCCTTGGGGCAGTGCAGGAGGCATGAAGTGTGTGTGCTGCCCAGATGTCTGTGGTGGACTTACTGCGGCATTATAAGATTGGCTGAGGCTCACCAAGGTCAATGGAAAATCTGGGAAGACCATGGAAACCCCTGGTGGACAGCACATTGACACCTAGCAATCAACAACCAAGAGGAAGGAAGCTTTCTCCCCATCTCTCAGCAGGAAAGCTGAACAGAGGCCAGCTCGAGAACAAAGGTCTGAGAGGTGACCGGCAGAGTTGACCTTTGGGAAAGGCTGGACTGCTGTCACCTTGGGCAGACAAAGGGACACAGATTGAAATGGAGTCCATAGCAGCATGGCTGGCAGATTGCTCTGGTGTCGCCAGATAAACCATGCTTCTCTATGCTAAGGACTTCCAGTGCTGTGTTTCAGTTGACTCATAAACCCTGCTTTGTTTCGGAAAGGCTGCCTGGTGTAACTGCAAATACTTGCTGAGGTACCTGTGTCCCTGAAGAGAGTAAAAGTCTCTGACTAGGGGTATGTCTTCACTACCAATGTTGCGGCATCAGCGTTTGGGGAGAGCTCTCCTAGCACTGTAAAAAAACACCCCCACGAGGGGAGTAGCGACCAGTGCTGGGAGTGCGGCTCCCAGCGCTGGTGCACTGTCTACACTGTGACTCTACAGTGCTGAAACTTGCATCGCTTGGGGTGTGTGTGTGTTTTTTCACATCCCTGAGCGCGAAAGTTTCAGCACTATAAAGTGGCAGTGTAGACAAGGCCTAGGAGTTTCTCAGGTGGTGTTGGGCAGAGCTCATGGTGTGAAGCAGGCGTGCTGAAGCTTAGAGGTTCAGTCTCTGAGGTGGTGTGGCTACAGGACCTACACTTAAGAAAGAATGAAACCCCCATGGTCCAAGAGACTGTGTAAAAGCTAGGGCGTACCACAGATCCACAGGATCTGTGACAGCTATGAAAATGTCTGTGATAGGCGCTCCCTCTGCCATGCCCCCACCCCTAATCCGCATGAGTTCTAACTTGCTGGCTTAGGAGCAAGGGACCTCACTTATTTTCCTTGTTTGTTAGGAAAATATGCTACCACTAAATAGTCACGCTGGGCATGGTGACTAATGGTTTTAAGTAATTCACATTATTTTGAATCTATTGTGTGGTTTCATAATTAAAAATGCAAACCTGAAATAATTCTGGAAGTAGGGATTCAGCCACTATATGTCTGAAGAGTGTGTATGCTCCCCAAAATTATAGCGCGTGCACTTTTGGGCCCAGAATTAACGTTGTTTTGAGAATTTGTAAGTCGTCCCTTAAGAAATTTAGCAAACCCCCTTTATTATTCCCAAATGATTTACATAATGGAGTGATGCAGACTCTTCAAACTTACCATATAGTTAAACTCACTACGTTTTGAGGAACAATTTTTTTTTAGGATTAATGGTAAAAAAATTTCTCTCCATTCTTCGTAACTGGAATTTACTTGTACAGGAGAAGCTGCTGAATGTTGTACTACAGAGAATTCAATCACCTATTGTGGACTTTGACAGCATAGGGGGACAGCCATGTAGTGAAACCATGAGCCAAAAAGAGAAATGCTGCTTTAACAGTTAGTGTCTGTGGTTCCAGATTCGGTTACACTATTATGCACTAGTCATAATTGTGTGATCATTGCCCTGTAGTGACACCATGCACGGTTATGGCTGTTTGGGTGTCTGAACTGTGCATTTCCGTACCTTAGAACGTTGGAACTTCTTTTAAACTAAATCCAAGAAATTCAGAATTAAGATTTGTAATGCTTGTTTTTGTGATAAATTACATCCCTCTAATGTTTATACCCTTAAATTACCATATACATCTTACACCAATATACAATCTTAACCCCAGTTTAAAATGTCTCATCTTTTTGTATTCAAGACAAAAAGCTATATGAAAGATTAACAACTCTGTTTAATATCTACTAGAAGAAGAATTTTTAGTCTCGCTATCCAACTGGGAAGTCCCAGTATTCTTAAGGAGGTTTTAGCAGAATAAAAGTTTCAAACTTGTGAGTGTCATGGTGCTGATTGAATGGCGGCATTCTAAATGTATCTGTAACTTTAGTGCCCTTGTGGCCAAGATGGAGTCTGCTCTGCAGGCAGCTCTGGCCAAGAGAAGGCGCACGCAGGAATGCAGCAGGGAAAGTCCCTTCTACCCTGTTCCAGAGTAGAACAGGAGAAGCTGCTGAACCCTGTGGTGATGACGCAGGAAAGGAAACAGAACGCCAGGTTTGTTGGTAGCCAGAGAGCTTCACAAGCCTTCTGCAAAAAGCCTCCCAGGAAAACTTTTCCTGGGGTTTTTATTATTTTTTTACTTTGTTTACAACTTTTTTTAGTGGTTACATTTTTGCCTATTCAGAAGGCAGGCAGTATACATGAGCATGAGATTACAAACCCATCTCTTAAGCGCGTGGACACCAGCTGCAAAGATGATGTCATTGTTGCCAATAAGTTTTCCAAACATATACGCTAGAACAAGGTTATTCCTGCCTCGTTACCAAGGGAACAGTTTGCCGTTCACGCTGGCAGACGATTCGGGAACAACACATTCCTACAGAACCCCCAGACTGAACATGCACACACCGGAAGAGTACAATGACTATAGGAAAGTGAATTATTTATTCACAGAGGGATGAGAGGGGGAAAAGCAACATGGGGAATTATAGGGGGAGCAGTAAAACAGGGTTGCATTCAACACAAGGCCCCATAGACCCAGTGGTAGCACAGTCTGAAAGGGCAGACACCGAGCAATGTGTCTGCACACAGAGTTCAAGAGTCCTGGGCAAAGTTCCAGTCCAGTGGTGAGTCTTGGGTGCTCCTGATCATATTCGGTGCCAGTGAACTTTCCCCAACAAACCCCTCCAGTGCCCTCTTTGCTCTCTGCAAAGCCACACAGAGTGATCACCTCCTCACTTAACTAGCTAAGCACCTCCCTGTTTATTACCAATGCAAAGTCACAAGCCCCAGTACTCACAGCCCCATGCAGCTCTGGGCAGCAGCGATACTGGGTCCAGCTCCGGTCTGTCCTTCTCGGGCGATTCCTCCCTGGCACAGTGCTCCCCCTGGCTCCTGTCCTGGGGTTTCCCTGACCGGCTGCTTTGTCCTTCCCAGGCTTCAGGCAGGTTCTTGGCTGCTTCGCTTTGTGAGGGCCTGCTTGCTGCAGCCCTTTATGTCCAGAGCTCCAGACACACATACTCTTGCTCTCCCCTCTCTCTGCTCCACCTCCCCCCAACAGCACTTCCTCCTTCTGGAACAATCAGCACTCCCCCCACCTCTCAAGGAAAAAGATTTAAGGGGCCATGCTCTCTGAACCCCAAGGGGGTCACATATCTGAGGGATAAACTGGTTTATACCAATTTAAGCCCTGATTCAGTTCCCACCAAAGTCAATGTGAGCCTTTCTAATAACTTCATAAGAATGGCCACCCTGGGTCAGACCAAAGGTCCATCTAGCCCAGTATCCTGTCTTCTGACAGTGGCCAAACCAGGTGCTTCAGAGGGAATGAACTTCTGGCAAACAGAGGCTAGGGATACCATCCCTCCCCATCCTGGCTAACAGCCATTGATGGACTTATCCTCCATGAACTTATCTAGTTCTCTTTTGAGCTGTAATAGTCTTGGCTTTCACAACATCCTCTGGCAAGGAGTTCCACAGGTTGACTATGCATTGTGTGAAGAAATACTTCCGTTTGTTTTAAACCTGCTGCCTATTAATTTCATTTGGTGACCCCTAGTTCTTGTGTTCAGAGAAGGGGTAAATAACACTTCCTTATTTAGTTTCTCCACACCAGTCATGATTTTATAGACCTCTATCATATCCCCTTTACTCGTCTCTTTTCCAAGCTGAAAAGTCCCAGTAGTAGTGGGAGCAGATCATGTAAATGCTACTAATGTGAGTAGTCCTTACTTAGGCTGGCAGTACTGTTGACTTCAGTAGAACTACTGTTATGAGCAAGGACTACTCACATGAATAAAAGTTTACAGGAATGGGTCCTTATCCATTGTTACATAGGATAGTAGACAAATGAACTATTTCCTTGAAAGTGGTGGCTCAAATGAGAAATAGAGGTTAATCGGACTATCTTTTCAGTATAATACATGGAGTTGCAGGAGATGTGCAATAACTTGAGTTGCAAAATGGGAATGAAATTTGAATGTTAATGAACAAAAAAAGAATATTTGGCTTGTCCATGATAGGTCCTGATTATAGTGTTGGATGCAGCTCATGGTATACCTAATGATTATCTTCTCTGTACACAACAATAACTAAACCTATTTTTCTTTTTGTGGTCTAGTGTCATCCCCCATGAACGCAGAATATTAACAATACTGCAGTGGCTAACCCTACCAGACAATGAAAGGTAATTCATGTAATGTTCTTCTTTGTAAACTTCTAACTTATCTTCTCTTTAAAAGTAGCTGGAGCTGCAGAAACAGATGGAATGTTAGTGTTAAAAGTTATTCTTGCCAGCATTCAGTATTACTGTTCTTTGTAGCTCTTAGCTTTTAACCAGCAGTGTTTCAATCCTCCTCAAAAAACCTCTGATGCGAATGTCCTTTGATTATTGGGGAACATTTAATTACATGGATTAATGTTGGCCGTTTTATGCTACTTAGTCTAATGTGGCTTAATAAACTTCTAGTCAGTGGTAAATGCAGAAGCTGCACCCTGAGGCTTGGGAAAATGTCAAGATCTTAATTGTGTTTTTTATTACACAAGTTCTCACATGCTGCAGACTGCATAGCCCATGTGAGCTGGTATCGTGATCTCTCCTTCTTACGGAACTAAGGGAGAGTGCGCTTCCTCAGACTGTGCCCTGTATGCCTCCCTCCATGTGTTCTGATATCGAATGACGTTCTGGAGCAACTAATTGCTTAATTATACTTTCAAAAACCTCTGACTGAGCAACAATTTTTTACATATGGCAAACAATAGTTGAAAGGCTGACTTAGCATGACCGGGCAATTTCTTCTTCTTTTGTGGTTGAAAGCAGACTATTCTGAACAAAATCTTTCTTTCAGGCCTTATGTTTATGCTTTCTACTCTGAACAACCAGATGCTGCTGGTCACAGATATGGTCCTTTTGGCTCTGAGGTTAGTATTTTTTTCCTGTATAAAAGTTACACATCTCAAGGATCAACCATGCCATTTATGGAATACGTGCTAACACTTTACTCCTGAACTGAGGTGGTTTTCTTATCTCTCAGTGCTCTTCCTATCTGTCAGAAAGGGAAAACAATTGGCTAAAATAAACAAGAACTTATGACCAAGGGTCATTTGACATTCAGAACTGTCTCTCTGTATAAAGTTCACATTATGGATGTAGGTATTTGATTGGCAGAGGTTTCAGGTGTGAAATTAGCTGGTATAACAGCACAATTTAGTGCTCCTTAATCAATTTACCCTTCTTAAAAAATATATCCTATATATGAGATGCAGAAAAGGTTCTTTGTTTCTCTGGTGTGTTTCCTTGGGTGACCGGGGAGGGTGAATATTTTTTTCAAAGTTGACAATTTGAAGAAGCGTGGTTAATACTCTATTCTAGAGTTGGAAAACCATGGTTTTCAATATTTGGTCTATGAACAAGCGGTTTGGTTAGCCCCGCCCGTACTGTTCCCTCGGAAATGGACATAGGTGTCCTAATAGCATGAGATAGGGAGCTTTAAAATCCATCACTTCCCAGAGGTGCTTAAAGCACCCTACTCTGTTTTGTCCACTAGTGTGGGCTCAGGAGTGGTGACAAAGGATTCAGAACTCTCATGAATTGCACTGGTTATTTACCAAATTACTACATTTTTCAAGAACATGCAAAAGCCTGTACAGGAGCGTGTTATCTTGGGGATATGGAGAGGCAATATTAGTTCTACACTTAAATATTTAAACACTTGGCAGTTCATCTTGGACACTTTACTCAGGCAAAACTCTCACTGAATTCAGTGCAAATTGTGGAAGCGCAAGATTAGACTCTTAAAATTAAGACTAAATGTGTACACTTCCTTTTAAAGCAAGCAACTTTTTATAAAAGCAACAGCACTTAAAATTTTGGAGCTATTTCAGGTACCTGCACTACTTGAGGTGCTGAAAGCACTTTGTTGGTAGCCCCATGTCTCACAGTGCACTCAAGGGGTGCATATGTCCAGTATAATCTCTCAACCTGTTTGCATAAAATCCTTGTATCTATTCCTGTTAGAGATGGGAGCACTCAGAAACTATCCTTTAAAACACTTTAGAATGTCCAGGGTTCCATTTCCACTTACGTGTTAACCTCTTCTCATTTATTCATTCAGTAATTTTCCATAAAAATCTCTAAACTCTGAAAAATTTCTGTGTTCCCTTCCCTAATATCAGTCATGCCTGTAGATGAAGGCAATATCTCTGCTGTAACAGTCTGGATACAGACTCACAAGCAATAATATATGCATGTGATTAAAACTAAATGTGAGCCATTATTAATAAATCACTATGCACCAGCAATGTCATCAGTGCTGTGCCAGGCAGAATAAAGACTCTCTGGTCCAAATAACTTCCCATCTAAAATCTATAAGCCAAAATATTTGCTAAAAAGGGAAGAGTTCTGTTTGACTGTCTGCATGTGTCTTCTCATTGTTGGCATTAATGGGCAATATAGGACTAACAAATCTTGTGCATCAAACTAAAAGAGAACAGTAACTTCAGAGTGTAGCTTTCTACAGAACAGAGACACTTTCTCATTGTGTCTTTTCACTGAGGTAAAGCAAAATTTGAAGATGAAATTGCATATGTTCAAATTTGAGCTAAACAGGCTCTTTGGACAAGCTCTCTTAGGGCCTAATGCTATGAGGTGCTTAGCTCAGTCACTAGGAGTTGAGATTCTCAGTACCTTGTGGGATTAAGATGTTTCCCAGTGGTAGAGTTTCTAGCTAACCCTTTTTCTATGCAATGTAGGAAGTTAATTGGGTCTTTTAGAAAACGGTAAAAAATAATCTTAGAATTCTTCTGGATAGCTATCTAAAGTCTAGCCTGTAATTATATGACTAAAGCAGGGTGATTTAAGAGGTGTGGTTTTCTTTTTTTTGTTAAATAACTTCACATATTGACTTTCATTGAATGGAGAACAGGCTGTTCTATGGATGAACATATTTCAGTTCCCAAATTTACAATAAGAAGACATGATTTTGTAATGTGGATTTAAAAACAAACAGCAGCTGTCTAAGACTTGTTAGTGGCATGATTTCAGGAGGGAGAAGCTAGAAAGTATTACGTTTATCTTGGTGCTTCTTCCCCCTGCTCCCCAGTTTATAGGAGCTCTGAGCCTCTCCTAAATCAGCTGGGAAGGAACCCCTCAGTGGGACCCCACTAAGCTGCTTCCTTAGTAATGGGAGCTTGACCTCTGCATGAAATCATTCTTCTTTGTACAGAACTGGCAGAACTTAGACACTTGGAATGGTTCTGACCAGTTTTTCCTCTGTGGCAGTTGAGCAACACACTGGAGCTTGAAAACAAGCTCTTGAACATTGTGTAGCGTATTTAAGAGGTGTGTGTGGTGTGGTGTTTTTTTTTTTTTTTAAGTGAAAATCTCCTTATGAACTATTCTTGCCTCATACTCACTAAGTTGAGGAGCAGCTTTGCTGCTGACTTCTCTGGATGGAGAGAGGGGGGAAAATATTCAACACGCCTCTTGCAATGTCGAGTGGATGTTTAGTATAATTTACTAACTCACTAGCAATAAAATTATGATTTCTTTTTTTAATTTTTTTTTAAAAGACTTGATCTTGCCTGGTGCTGATCATTTTCAACTCCCAGGGACTTCAGTTGACACTGAAACCTCGCAGGAAGTGCTCAACAGTCTATACCTTGAGTGCACAGTACATTAACATTTAGGAGTAAAAAGGAATAGAAGCACTCAAAATTTGTGGGTGAAATTCTGGTTCCATTGATTGAAGCCAACAGAACCAGGATTTTGCCCAATATGTTGACTACAATAACTTGCAGTATGTTTTGTTTTATTAGGTGTTTCAGTGTAAGTGAAATTTATTACACTAGAAGTGTAATGTTGTTTTTAATGAGACCTTCACAAACAGCTCTTTTGAACTAGGAAATTTGTTATAAAGCTTTATTTTCAGAATGTATTGATGAGAAATTTAAAATGTATGCCTGCCCTTGGTTATTTCCGCAATTCTGTTTTTCTTTTCCCTTCTGTGCTTCTGCAGTGACACTGATGGGTTGTCCTTCTGGGACGAGAGGCAGAGCTTTGGCTGGCTAGTTCCCACCTTTTGTTATGTCTAGAAAGGGGGAGGGATGGATTTGTTCATCTTCTTCCCGAGGGGCCCCCTACCCCCCAAAAAAGAAATAACCCTTTTCTGATTCTTTTCAAGTGAGGCTAAGGTTTGGCTGGTTAACAAGAACTTGGCTTTTCTTCCTAGCTAACTTTGAAAGAAAAACATTTATTTAAAAATATATATAAATATACATACTACTGTAAGTGCTCTAAGTAGATCAAAACCTGTCATGCCTAAACTCTATTCCTGCTGCTCCTCTAACATGCCGTCTTGGGACGGCTCTTCTAAGTGTTCAAAATATCTAGGTTTCTTGCACTGGCCAGTGTGTGTCTGGCACTGTCAAGCTCTGGCTGAGTTTATTCAGGGACAGCGTAAAATGAGAATCCTTCCTTTCCCTGCTGCTCCTCTCATCAGGACTGCACAAAGCTTGAAACATTTTAAAAAGAAAACTCTGGTGCTGCTTTATTAAAATGCCTTTCTGGAGAGAGACGAATGAGACGAGACTAGAATCTCCTTTCCAGCTGCTTGCCTTGGAAGCAATGAAACAGCATGGCAGATGGTAACACTTTTTTTTGTTTTGTTTTTTCTTCCCCCTCTGTTCATAAAGCTCTGTGACTGAACAACAGAGAAACTGGCGAAGTAGATAGAAGTAAATATGATTATAAATCACTGATTTTCCTCAAGCCCATTTAGCAGGTTCGATTTCCCCCTACCTGCCTACTTAGCTGTATTATCTCCCTGTAGGTGTCATCTCACACCGTTCTCAGATGGTCCTAAGCAGCGCTGAGAACCCACAACTCCCATGAAAATTGATGGAAGGTGTTGGTGCTTAGCATCTCGCAGGTGCAGAACAGGCCAAAATTGAGAGCTGTGCTTGCAACCCTGCATATCTTTAAAGTGGGGCTTATTGGAAAAAGGAACATCGGGCCATTCCAGTCTCTTCTTTTGTAGCATTCACAGACAAAAATGAATAAGCCCATTTCAAATGACTTATTTTAATAGATAATGTATTGCTCACAAACGGTGCCATATTGACAGCTCTGGAGACTGATGTCCTCAATTTATCCATACTACTAGTACAAGGTAGTCAGCAGCAATGCAGATTTCTCTCACACTGCCCTTAACAAATTATTAGATTATTCAGAAGGTGCAGTCTCCGTGTTTGCCACTGAGTGGTGGCTTTGTAGTATGCTGATGCTTCCAGCTGAACTGGTAACCAGCAAGTCAAATGTTCCATGTTTCATTAAGATCCCCCCCACACACAAGACTTTGCAAAAAAAAATTTACACCACCAAAAATGTGAAGCTGATACTGTTACATATTTTGTGTATTTATTTGTATATTTTGTGAATTGAATGACACTTGAAGAGAAATACTCATAACACTACAGTATGTATTCATAAAAATTGGCCTGATCGACCTTCTCCTGAAATACCAATTTCATTTGCTCTTATGTTAGTTGCTTGAGTAACTATCCCACTTTCAAGTACAATTTAGTGAGCTCCTCTGTAGAGAGAGACCTCTAAATTGTCCCTTTACCAACTCCTATATTATTGAAGAAGCGTTGATCTTCATGCTCCTCAATTTGATGACGCAGGTCACTATAGTATCTGATGCTAGCTGAGTCAGGATTTCTCTGAGTCCAGACATCTCTCTCCGCCAGTACAGGAGAGTAGTTATGGCTCACCTCTTACTCCGCCTAAGAGACCTAAGAGAAAGATTACTCCTAAGAGGAGACAGGAAAGACGAGTTGCATCTCCAAAGAAAAGAAGAAAAGTACATAGAGTGGATCAGTATTCTGCGGAATCCCGTCGGAACAAAGTAAGTTTACCTGTGTTCCAAAACTTTGTGACCGAAGTGTCAGTTTGAGGCTCTTATGTAGCTTAATTTTTGCAACTTGGACTCCCTTCCATACTTCAGTTTGGGAATTCCAAAACAGACCTTCTATAACTGTACTGAAAGATCACTGCTGGCAAAGCAGCAAGGATATATTGAGTCTTTCGGGAACTATGTTCTTCCTATTTTAGACTCTGTTCACTCTAGGGAAAGCCTCTTTAGGACCTTTTTAAAAATCCATCAAACAGAGGGAGCATGAAACAAATCTCTGGGAAGATCTTATCAGCGTCACCAACCCATTAGATTTTTATCATTAGTCTCACAATATTGGGTGTCCTTCTTTAAGCCCCATTTCCTGGTATCAAATGATTGATTGTGAGAATCTCTGATTTATTTATTTTTAAATAAAACCAAGTTTCTAGTCTTCATGGCTCTGGAGAAAAGTTGAAAAGGTGACCTGAGTGTAACCTGAAGGCTCAAAAACCAGATGGCGCACACACAAAAATCTCATTGGCTGAAAAATCTTGAGACTTTTGGGGGGAGGGGAGACAAGGGATGAAGGGCATGCAAATCATGATTTTTGAACCCATGATTTTGGGTCTGGCAATAATGCCTTATGATGGTACTTAAGTCTCTGTCTTCAAAAAGGTCAAAGTTGGAGGTTGCTTCACCAGGAAAAGATTCAGAGAGAGGAGAAAGGATGATCCTTAATAAACGAAATCTCTCCACCTGCCACTAATTGACAACTTGGGAGGGGCTGTGGACCACTTCAGCATCCCTTCCATTCAGGGATTTTTAAACTAATTGTAACCCAGTTCATGGGACCTAAAAATATCTCATGTGGGATCCAAGCAAAAATCTTGACACAGTACATTTTCAAAAAGGAGCGATAGAAACTCTTCCCAGTAGCTTTCAATTCCTGACTTTAAAAATATATACATCTGAAATTAATCAGGTATTCTGAGACTCATCCTGGAACTGAGGGGGAGAGGGGAATCGGACATCAAGTGTAAGAAACTGCCATTTCCCACAATACCTTGATCATTGATAGTCTACTCAAGAGGGAGGCTAATCATCTTCTTACATGAATGATGTCTCCTTCAACAAACTACACAGGAGTTCCCCTTTCAGAGTAGTTTGCCAATTCAAGGTCCTACTCTTTTTGGCGTAAAATATGTTCTCGGTGGCCTAATAGTGGGAGTTTGTGCATCTCCTCCTCCCCGCCGGCTTCTCTTCTCTGGATGAATATTTCATCCATCCATGCAAATTTCCATGCAAACCCAGTTGTGGATTTTTCACTAAGCCTTCAAAAACCTCAGCTTATTCTAGCACAAATTATCGTCCACATCCAGTGCAAATTAACCCTTTAGTGCCAGCATTTGTTTATGCTCATTGAGAGCAATGGGATGTACCACAAGACTAGTCCCTAGGAGTTAAATCCTTTCCTCTCTTATACATCAGCATCTGGCTAAAATAGGTTCTAGCATGAATTTTCCTTCTGAAGAACTATCTAGTAACACTGATCCGCATTTCTCAGTTTCATACCTGTTCCTCTTATAATAATGTCAACTGTTTTTTTTCGGTGGCATCTCAGATATCCACACCTATCTTGGAAAATAAAGCCTTCCACACTACTTTACAAAGATCTGAGGTAGTGGAGGTCAGCATGTGATCTGAGCAAAGGTACACATTCGACTTTTATTCTTTCACTGATAACTCCTTGGAGGTTACATCTGGACAAGAACATGGTCTCAGGGCAGTCCCACATCCACGTAGAGTATCCTCACATAAACATATTAATGACATTCAGTATCAACCTTAGTCTGTTTAAAAAATAAATAGATAGAACTTTTTAAATGAGAACCCGGTGAGAATAATGGAGGTGAAGGAACTTAATGGAGGTTCTCTGGCTGTGATCATGTGAAATAGTGTGGGGGGTTTGGTGGTGTGGGATGTTTGTTTTTTGCTTTGTTTTGTTTTTTTGGTTTAAAAACAGGATTTCCCCGATTAGTTTGTTTTCATGGTATCAAAAACATCTTTGCAAATCCCCAGCTGAAATTTGGTGGATATAGGATCTTAGAAAAGTACTGTGATTTGTGGTTCCTTATCCCATGTGGAAATACTATTGCTCTATTTTAAGAACAGCATAAACCTGTTCCACAAGAAAACGTTCATGTGAAATCCAAGAGGATTTGCAGTTCCCAGCTTTCCTAGCTGCAGAGTTACGATTTAGAGGCTGAAATAAAAGACCTAATTTCCTTACTTGATTGATTGAGATACAATTAGAGCTGACTGAAAAATGGACTTTCCAATTCATGGGAAAAATCTGATATTTTAACAGTGGGCTTTTGTCCCAGTTTGGGGCAAAAAGTCAAAATAGTGAAATTTTTCATGGAATGAAAAATTCTGAAAAATGTTGATTCAGAATGTTTCATCATTTTTGACTGAAACTAAATGCTCATATTTTCCTAAATAGGAGCATTTAGTTTTAGAATCTTTTCCCCTCTGTCTGAGCTGCTGCAGTGTCTCCTGGGAATTGTAGTTCTGTGTTCTTCCTGCTCCCCAGCTGGATTCCATCTCCTTTGGCGCACAGCGGTTTCTCCCTGTGGCAGAGTCGCCATCATGCTTCATGAGTTGTAATTTCCTGTATTACTTTGATTATTTTCAGAATCTACAACTCCACGAGGTGGGTGGCAGTTCAGGCAGAAGGAGAGCTTGCAAAACATTTAAATTAGGGTCAGGTTGACATTTGTAAGTGGAAATTTCCCTTGGGAAATTGTTGAAATCGACCTTTCCGAGTCAAGATTTTGACAAAGTTCTGTTTTCCTACAGGAGAATTGTTTTTTTGTTCCAAATTTTTTAACTGATCCAGTTAAGTATGCAGATGAGATATTCAGCATATAGTGACCAACAGAAATGTTGGTCTCTCTCTCTCTCTCTCTCTCACTCAAACTGTCCTTTATCTAAAATGTACGGAGATTCAAAGTATTTATCGTCTAATAAAAAAAAGTTGCACTCGCTTCTGTTCCTGCTCAGAATTGTAACTTGTCGGCATGCTGTCATAATTTTGCCTTTTTATAAAATAAAAAATAATGTATTTATACCATTTTAGGTCTGGGCATCCTTTTTCAAAATCTTGCCAGAATTGTCACTTGATCCTTTAGAGACCTTGGCTATCAAGCTGAAGCTGCCTTTTTTTTTTTTTTTTTTTCCCCCTCCTACTACTTATAATGGAAGACTGAGGGCAGCCATTCTAGCACCAGATACCTCCTGGAGCACCCTTCAGAGTGGCTTGGGATTTTCATATGAACACTGAGATTGAAGCTATGTACCATGACTACGTAGTTGGTGTTCGGAAAAACTGAAAAGCTAAATTCCATTTGAAGAACAGCATTTAAATCAGTTCTCTCCTCTCTCTTTCTCCCCTCCCCCAAATCTTCCCCAATCATATGCATTTTTCTAATATAGTAAATCTGCCTTTGCATTTACCATATGTTTAGGGGGTCTGTTGGAGGGGTAGGAATAGGATCAATGATCTCTTGTAGTCATCCAACAACATCCCAGTAGAAGATTTTTTTTGTATCTTTCCCTCAAGGAAATCAAACCAAGCTCATGGGAAAGGAGATGACCATTAGGTCAGGGTGATAACTACTCAGCCAAGGATCTGCCTTTTGATCTGGAAAGTTAACCTACCAGAAGTCTGCTGAGGAAGCGCCACCTGTAGTGAAAGAGGGAGCATTGTAATGGTGATTAACTTCCTTTCTTTCTGCAAACTTTGTACAGATGATAAATCCCCTGAGGGATATTGACAAGACTTTAGGACAATTAATGGATGGACTGAAGCAGCTGAAACTACATCGATGTGTCAATGTTATCTTTGTTGGAGACCATGGTAAAAACTCTTACTTGTCCTTTCTTAGTATGTAAATATGGATAGAAACTGATGCTTGAGCAATTTCCAGAGCTTCACTGTGCTTAAAGTTACACACACAAGTAGTACTTGACTGGATCAGAGCCTAAATGAACATCCTATTTTAAAAATTCTTTTTAAAAAGTAAAAATATTTATTCACAGGATACTGACAATGTAAGCCCAACATTTAATTTGCCTTATAATTACCTTGTGGGGGAATTCCTTCTTATTTTAACTATTTGGTTTAACTGTTTACACATTCATTCAGAATTAAGCCTATTGTTTTTTGGGGTGTGAGCCACACAAATAATGTACAATCTCTCCTAGCTGCTCCCTAGCAAGTGTGAAGAGCTACAGTCTGTCCCCATGTCTCTCTTTTTTTTTTTTTTTAAAAGTAGGTTAACTGTCAGGGAAATGGTGTAGAAGCCTCATCCCCTTTTTAATGACAGTAGGAGAATAATTTTGGAACAGTAAGTTTCCATGCCAATTAGGACGACAGCTGGTCAGATACAGAGGAACAAAGTTGGGGTAGTTATGAGAGACTGGGCCCAGCTTTGAAGGGTTATGGAGGAAGGAGAAAAGCCCCCAAGAGAGTTTGGATTGGGGAGAGAATAAGTGGCAAAAATGGGCAGAAAGACCAGAAATGGAAAATTGTGACTTGGAAATTAGGGAAAACTTCACAATAAGAATTCATAGTAAAGACAGAGAAACTCCAGTGAAAAATACTATAGGAGAAAGAAGGAAAATAGAGATCGTTTGGGTATGTTTTGAGGTAGAACTGTTCTTGGCATAACATTTCAGTGGGGTTACGAAAGGTCTCTAATTAGAGTAATAGTACACTAAATGAGTCATGATTTGCTATGGGATACCGTGCTATTCAGATAAGAGGTGTGTGTGTGTGTGTAGTGCCAGATTAACAGGCCTGGGCAGTAAAGTTCATTCTCTGTCTACAAAACAGGTACAGCACAGTGCTGCAGGTTTCTCTACCAGTTATGTCTCCTCCCTGATGTGGAGGGGATGACTGCTGGGGTTCTGGGGAGAGTTCATTTTCCAAACGTAGTCATTCCTTGTCTAGAGGCTTTTGAGCTTTACTTACTAAGAACTAGATTGAGACCACCAGTACATAGGCCACAAAACAACTCTCTGATGGTAACAACTCTCTGTTCACTCTACCTACAGTTGATTTAGAATACACCACCAAGATACAATACCTTTGTGTGTTTGTGTCGCCTCTCTTTAAATTGTATTTTAAAAATTCCTTTGAAACTAGGAGCTGATCTTAGTTCTTCTGTGAGTTAAAACTGGATGTATAACAAGTGTACGCTCCCTGGACTGGCATTGCTGCTCTGACACTGGCATTTTTGTTGTGCACATAGGTGCAAGCACCAGCCACAATTTGGTTCTTAAACAATATCTAATGGTGATTATCAGTGCTGCCATCAAGAAGACATTAACTAAAAGAGCTTGATGTTGGTGAAAGCTGAAAACAAACAAAGGTGTCCATGTGTCTGACAGTTCCTTGGCAGGTGGAATAGTTCCAGTGACCACTCTTAATGACTAATTCATGAGTGTAGTCTTTCCATAAGCTTGAGGTTAGGTTACCTGCTAGGAAGAGAGGAATAGAATGAGTATATAAAGAAGAAATATTTGTTTTCGAACGGTTTCTCTGAAGCCAGAGATTGATGCCTGTATTTTAGGAAATAAGCTTGTTTCACAATATAATTCTCTATTAAAGGAGTCTTATTTCCCTTCCACAGGAATGGAGGACACCACTTGTGAAAGAACTGAATTTTTGAGTAACTATCTGACTAATGTAGAAGATATCGTATTGGTGCCTGGGTCATTAGGACGCATTCGCCCTCGATCTAATAATAATCTGAAATGTAAGTTGATTATACAAGTATCGTACTATACTGAGGCCAAGATTCTGCAACTCTTAACTAAGGTAGAGTAGCGCATATCCAGACAAGTTGTCCCATGATCGTGAGACTTGAAGGGGTTCATCCATCACCTTGCAGAATTGGATGCTAAGTGAGAATGTTTTTTTTTTTTTTTTAATTATTATTAAATGTAGTCTATTGACTAGGGCCTATTGACTGGTCAAGTGGTAGTATTAATTATGAATCCATTAGTTTTCCCATTCTTGTGGCCAAAAAATAGTGTTGGATATTTGCAGGGGTGGCTCTAGCTTTTTTGCCGCCCCAAACACGGCAGGCAGGCTGCCTTCAGCGGCATGCCTGCGGGAGTCCCTGGTCCCGTGGATTCGGTGGCATGCCTGCGGGAGGTCCGCCGGTCCCGCAGCTTCGGCATACCTGCCGCCGAATCTGGGGACCGGCGGACCTCCCGCAGGCAAGCTGCCGAAGGCTGCCTGACTGCCGCCCTTGCAGGGACTGGCAGGGCGCCCCCTGCAGCTTGCTGCCCCAGGCACGCGCTTGGAGCACTGGTGCCTGGAGCTGCCGCTAGATATTTGGCAGCCATGCACAGCTAAGGCAGAGTGTGGGTAAGAGAAAACTGTGAAGTGTGAATTTGAGCAAATGGGCTCAGTAATAGTATATGAAAAATCTGGGTTTTTTGCAACATGCTTTTAAGAAGTTGCTTGGAGCTCTAAATTATGAGACCATTTGAAACATTCTGGGGATAATTTTCTTGAAGATGTATCTGGTTGTGCAAAGACTGGATTGAGATATTTCAAGATTACAAAATCCAAAAGCCCATCAGAGCCAATGGGTACATGTTAAAATCAGTACCTAGATTAAAGGTTTAACTATGAACAAATGTATTCTGATGTTTGTCTAAGGGACATGTGTAAAGATCTGTTTTCAAATACCAGTGTTTCACTGATGTGTATCTTAAGCTTTTTAGAGCATAAAAATGAATTTATTCACGTCATAACCTGCAAGTATTTCACAGTACACTCAAAAATAAACAATGTTGTGATTTTGGTGGGCTACCATAAAGACTAAATTCTTTCTTTGTAGATTCTACCTAAACTATTAGTAAACTTCCAGTTACAACTTTTTTTAAAGATCTTCCCACACCTATTATCTCCTATATGAGTGAATATTTTTGTGTATCTTCCACTGAGAACTTTTTTTAAAAAGCCTCCATTGTCCCTTCGTTGACTCCAGTGAATTTTGCTTCAGTTTTCAGTAGGAGTAGGATCAAGCACTACCACATTAAAGTTCTACAGATAATTAGGTGCACCATATTTTACTGCAAAGAGGAGTGAAATAGCATGAGGAAAATCATTCTTTCAATTTTCCCTGATGTTGAGCAAGTTCTTTTCCTTTGACTGGGGCATGGTGAGCACTTCCAAAGAGAAGATCGGTTGTCCTCGCTAATCCCTGGCACAATGCCTCTGGGTTTTGTTTTGTTTTTCACCTCCTTTTGCATTCATTCATCTCCTCTATGGGACTCTTTCTATCCTCTTCTCCCTGAATGTTTGTAATTGCTTATAAATGAACAATTCAAACATAAAATAAATAGGCACACTCCCGGGCCTTGGAACAGAACTTTAAATGGCAAATTACCTAACTACTTTCTCCCTCCTCCACTATTTCATGCCTTAACACTACCTTCATTCTCGCGTCTTTGAAATAGATGTGCCTGTGAATTGTACCTGAGACTGAATGTGACTCATTTCAAAGCCAATCAATATCATGCCTTAAGCAGCCAAAATAATATGGTTGAGAGACAAGGTTCTTCATTTTCTTCCAACTCTGTTTTCTCCTCTGGGGCCTGAGAAATGCTGTTTGCTGGCCCTGGAAGAAGTGAGACTGAGAATTTAATGTGGGTTGTCCAAGTGGTAGTACAGCTTACATAGAGTAAAGTCCCAAGGCTTGCCCAGAATGTTTTTTCAGTTATTTCATTTAGTCACTTATTCAGCTGTGTGTAATGCTAAAGAAGCCAAAAGAACCACAGCTTTCTTATTAATTATTGCTTATAAAGATGCTTATTCTTGCACTTAAACACTCTTACAGAAAGCTTTTGCAAAGTCTCAGATATGACTGCTTACTTGTTAGATTAGATAGATGATTTTCAAGACGTTAGTTTAAAATTTTTATTTCTATGACTATTTAATTTCAGGTCCAAAGTATAAAACACTGATCAATGCTGCTATAAAAATTTTGGGTAATTAAGGAAAGGCACATTAAAGGTGTATTATTGCACATCATCTAATACATTTTGCTAAGATAGGATAGCTTTTAAAAGGAGCCTGGACTCCTGAAGAGAGTGCTTACCTTGTAACTCCAATAAACAGATGACTGTTTTATGTCTTTGTGTCTCTTTTAACAGATGATCCTAAAGTAATTGTTGCCAACCTCACAGTAAGTATTTAGCACTGGCATATTATATCTGTCTACAGTATATTGTTCATTTCACATGTTAATTTGGAGATTTATTCAGCATTCCCTGCTCACTCTTTAGTCAGAAAACCAACATTAGGCTGAAGATAGAGAGGTAAATAGGGCCCTTCATGAGTAGGGATTAATGTTTGTCATGAGTTCCACTGTTTGCTGCAGTAGTAGCTTTTATAACCCTTTTGGGTAGTACACAGCCAGAATGTCCCTGATGGTCTTGAGTCCCTGAATTGAGCCGATTTATTCCTTCCTTCAGAAATGGAAAGTAACCTTTTTATGAGTAAACATTTTAGTAGTACTTGGAAGATGCAGTAAAAATCCATTTGATATCCCTCAACCCTAACCTTGTTTTTATGAAATTCCCATTAAATATATACTGATTTATCAAATGTAGAAGCCAAACTGCTTTAAATACATTTTTTGAAAGGTTGTCTATTCAGGAGTCTTCTGAAATTAAGCTTTGGTCAGATATGAACCGTTTTGCATATCACTGAGGAAAATGTGGTGGAGTTTTGCAAAAACACTCTGTAGCGAGAACAAAGGTGTCAGATGTGCATAGAACATAATTCAAAACTCACCTGTCCTTAGGGAAGCATTGTATAAATAGTGCACTGATACAAATATGGTCCTTTAAATTGTTGTGTAAGATCTGGGATATATGTCTACTATATGTAACCTTGAACTCTGAAATCAAGCAGATTGTATGGTTGAAGTCACACTAGTGATGATGACTTGAAACAATATAGCTTCTTACAATTATCTTTCAGTGTAGAAAGCCAGACCAGCACTTTAAACCTTATTTGAAACAGCACCTTCCCAAGCGTTTGCACTATGCTTACAACAGAAGAATTGAGGATATTCACTTATTGGTGGACAGAAGATGGCATGTGGCAAGGTAATCTGTGGTGTCTTTTTGTGTGTGTGTGTGTGTGTGTGTGTGTGTGTGTTTTCTTTTTGGTCTTTTCTGCCTTCTCTAGTTTAATTACTGGCAGTTTTGAATATTCTTAAGCTATTTAGCAATTAGCCAGGCAAAAAAAAATCCTATTTAGAGAGGCAGGCAGTTTATACCATTACTTGTCTTTTAAAGACAATAGAAAAGGAGGCATCTTTTCTACTGTCAACATCCTTTTGTGTTTAAAATATCTTGTTTGTTCCTTTGATCTGTTGATAAAATGATATATTAAATCAAGTACAGCTAGTCCTTTATTCATAAAGCTGAGTCAGTGTATTTTTTTTGGTAGAGAACAGGACAGATTTATGTTCTTGGCATCTCTTGTGATGAACTTTAAGAATTGGTAGTTCTCTTTCGAATATGTTGCTGCCAGTCAAACAGTGTGTCATAAGTGTATTTGCATGCAGTATAGTTGTAGCTGTGTCGGTCCCAGGATACCCACCTTGTCTGTCTAATAAGTGTCTTTGACACTTGTGCTAATCTTCCTGTATTTATGCAAAGATCTTTCTACTAAAGCAGTGAATGGGAAATCCCAATTGCTTTTTCAGACTGGATGCAATTCCAGTAGGCAAGGTGACAAGTCGTCGTCTTTCCACAATTTCTGATGATGGTTCTCAAATTTCAAAGAATTAAATTCTGGTTTTAGGCCTACCATTTTAACAATTTTTATTGATACATGTAGCGCTAGACAGGAGACAGTTTTCCTGTTCTGCAAAACTTGGAGTATAGAATTTTTCCTATTTTCTGTTTTTCCTATTCCACATCCAGATGAACCCATGACCTCCTTTCCAAGTTTTTCATGTTTCAGACTAGGGACTTGAACCTGGGTCTTCCACTCCCAGTTGAGTGCCATAACCACTAGGCTCTTGGCTATTCTGGGGTTAATGTGTCTGTCTGGTTTTGACCTGTGTAACCTTTCCTGACAAAAGTTGTTTGTCAAAACTGGTATGTTCCCTCAAAAAGTTTTGGTTTAGAACAATCATCATTTTCCAACCCCCTCACCCCCCCCCCCCGACAAAAAAATAAATACAGTTGGAAGATTCCTAAATTGCTCTAGATACAGGATGGGGAGGAGAGGTCATAGGAATATTTTACTCAAGATTTTTTTCCCCTTTCATCTCAGTTCAAAGTTTTGGCAGCATTATTTGCTACTGCTCTTAAGAGCTACCTTTTAATGAGTGCATCCTTCTCTTCTGTTAATGTAACTGTAATTCATGTTATATTCATAGCCAGGAAAAGGCTATTTCTGTAATAGTTACAGGTCTGATTGCTTCACTTCCAGTCTTGAGGACAAAAGCCAAATCTCTGAGAGAACATCATCTAATGGGTGTACAAACTGACTTTTAGAATGGCAGCCCACTGGACTGCTAGGCAGCCCCTGTGATGCTGCTCATAAATCTTAGTGTGTAACAAAGCTAGTCATTATATTTCTGTGATCACCACTTACTTTCTTCATATGTTTCTCTTCCTTCTGAGTTTCTCCCATTTTCTCTCCAGGTCTGTTTCTCCTTTGCCTACCACAAGGTGAAAGAGTAAGCAGGTGAAAGGACTCAATAGCATTGTAATTTATTAAAAAGGTGCTTTCTGACTTTCTGAGAAGCATCTGTTAGAATGCTACTGATTTAGGGCAACATGATCCTAAACAGTTTCAATCTGTAGGTGTCCCCAGTGGGGAAGGGCTTCTACATGGGAATGGCAAGTTATCCAAGGCTAACAATAGCTGATGTCAGTTATTCCATATGCATTGGTTTCTTTTCAAGTACATCCCAGGCAGGTGATATCTCAAGTTTTTCATTCTCTTAAATAATGGCATAGTATTAAGTTATATTGCGCCATCCGTTTAAGCAGAAACACTCATAGTTGTCAATGGGGATTTCTGTTAAGAACTAATGTCACAATACACCTATTAAAATGCTGAGCAAAATTCAGTTTTAAGACTTTTGAGAGTAATGGGAGGACCCCTGTGCTTGTCCAAATCCATCGCTTCCTTGGTGGAATATATTTAATGTTGAGGGAGCATCATTGGGAGAGAGAGAAATGAATTCCCATTTAACATTTTAATACATTTCAAAATTATAACCCCTTTTTGTCCTCTTTGGAGAACTGCCTACCTAACTTCCCCCTAGAGTTTCATTTGGGTATGGTATTCACTTCTTGTCCCAAGTAGTGTGTACTGCTGGTGCATCCACTCCGGTGTGGGGGATGATTGTAGTTCGTGAACTGCTCTGGGATAGTTTAGGGCAAAGTTTCTGTATAACTGAGATGACTTCACTGTGTGTGTGTGTGTGTGTGTGTGTGTGTGTGTGTGTGTTTAGTTAAAGGCTGGAATTTTCAAAGGAACCTGTAGAAGTTAGGTGCCCAAATCCCCATGACATTCAAAGGGAGTTAGGCTCTACCTCCCTTCAACTCCTTTTGAAAATCACAGCTTAAACTTTAATCTTCTGAAACTACATTGTCAGGTCAGCAATAATTCTTATGATTTTACATTTCAATATAGGAAATCCATGGATGTTTATAAGAAACTATCAGGAAAATGCTTCTTCCATGGCGATCACGGATATGACAACAAGATCAATAGTATGCAGGTATAAGCAGCAAAGTAACCTTTTGGGGAGGGTAATTGTGTGTGTGTGTGTGTGTGTGTGTGTGTGTGTTGGAGGGAGAAACTTGAAGTCTTAGAATTTTTTTTTTATTTTTTTTTTTTAAGAGTTAAAGCAAACTTCTTCTTTTACCATGTTTCTCTCTTCTTTGAAGACTGTCTTTGTAGGCTATGGTCCCACATTCAAGCACAAGACCAAAGTACCTCCATTTGAAAATATTGAACTTTACAACATTATGTGTGGTAAGCTACTCCATTTTTAAACTACTTTTGCCAACAAAGCTTTCAGAAGTTGGTGTAGGCACAACTTATGCTTGTGTTCTGGGCCACTGCCTTCTCCCCTAGCACTGCACTGTCGCTTGCCCTTTGGATGGAAGGACAGAATGCACAGAGGCCTATGTTTGTTCTGCTCCAACAATTGGAGTGCATTCACATTGTGTTTCTGCTGGCAGCTCCTCGGATATCAAATATAGAGGGCTACAATCTAGTATGTCCGTTCTCCCTTAGCCCTGGGAGCTAGACTTGTGCCCAGAGAGGGCTTCTGCCCCTGCATCCCATGCGTGGCAGCGCAGGCGTTATTTTGCCACTACTGTGCCTCTTGTTGGTGATGAATTGTTTTCAAAACTCTTACTGCAGCAATGAAGTAGAGAAGCTAGGTATGGCAATGCATGAATATAATTTTTATGATCCTGTCTTTTACTGTAAAAGGAAATGTACATTAAACTTTCCACCTGAGGAGTTCAAAAGAAGCTGCACCTATTAATTTATAAACATGAAACACATCTGTGTGTTTATATAATTATTCCCATTTATAGATGAGGAGGAGGCTAATTGGTCTTGAGGTCTCAGAAGTCAATAGCAGAATTGGAAATAGAACCAAGATCATTTTTTACTTTGTCTCCTGCTTTAACCAGTAGACCACACTTCCTTTCAGATATGAACCAGTCGAGAGATCACACTGGAACAGAACTATTGTCATTAACATGATGTGCCTTTGAGCAAATCACAATAACAGCTCATTGTGTCTGCTCACTCTTCTCCAAATGTGTGCAATATTGAACTTTCCTGTCTGTCAGTGGTGTTATGTGGCTTACTTAATGTTTGTACAGTAACAGGAAATCCTGGATGAAAGATTCCAAAAAAATGTTTTAGTGGGGATGTTAAATGCTGAATATCAGTTTGACTTTTAGTATTTTTTAAGACTGATAGCACTATCCGGTTTAACCAAGCATGCTGCAGGTTTGCCCTCTAAGCCATTGATCCTCATTGGAGCCTCTAGGGGTACATCTACTCTGCAACCCCCAACACCCCCACCTAGGGCCGGCTCTGGCTTTTTCGCCACCCCAGGCGAAAAAGCCTCCGGCCGCGCCCCCCCCCCCCCCCCCCCCCGGGGGGGGGGGGGGGCGGCCAGAGCACCGGGGGGAGGGCGGAGTGCCCGGCCGTGGCCCCGCTCTCCCCGGTGGCTGGAGCCGGAGCACTG